ATCGACAAGCCCGCGTCCCCTCTCAGGCCTCCAAACCTGCCTGCATTTGAAGAAGGGGTTCCACCGCTAGAGCAAGCCTGGGAAGCTTCTGCAGAGCAGTAGCTGCTGTTTCACACGTCTGTTTCCTCTTCCCCCAGAAAACAGGAGCTCGGGACTGCAGCCCCAGCAGGCAGCACAGGGCTGTGGTGCATGTGTTCACGTGTGTGTGCATTGTGTGTGTGTGTGTAGGGCAGGAAGGAAGCACGGATGAAAAACGAATGCATCGGCAGCTCTTTACGCAATGCAAGGTCCCACCAACCCCGAGCTGTGCAGGGAAAAGGCCACGGGCGAGTTGAGTAAGAAGCCTGCCGAGAGAATGATGTAAGGGCGCTTTCTGTGCACATTGCAACAGAACGTTCTAAATCGGGCCCGGGGCTGCTTCCCAAGGGTCTCGGCCTGACCCGACTCCTCTCTGTCCACCAGATCTGTCACACATGACAAGTCCCCTAAAGCCGGCCTTGGAGCCAGGATTGTTCTTGGCCTCTCTGAAACCTAGAGCCACCCTTGGTCACCTTCCCACCTGCCCTACCTCATCGGCGGGGTTCAAGGTTCCGAGGCCTCAGTCACCCTGCTTTTTCCTGCCTTGCGCTGCTTTAGGTCAGGCTGCGCCGTCATCATCGCTTCTCCCTTCCCTCCACCCGACAGCACCGAGACCATGGCCAGGCACGGCACAGGGCACTGGGATTCAGACACTTCTCTGACTGCACCTTTTCTGCCCTCCAGTAGCCTCTGCCGGGGAAGACGGGGGCGCAGGACCACCGCGGAAAGGGAAAGGACACTCCTGGGCTGGGTGCTGCGAGTCTTCCATTTACCCCCGCCCACTGCCCGCCTTGGCTGTCCCTCCACACTCTGTAGGGACTGCATGGACACGGGCAGCCCTGCAGCAGGTGCAGGGGGCAGTGAGTGACCTTGCCAGGCCACTGCGGCTTCTCTGCATGTCTTAGAGCTTCTACCAGGCGGCCCTCCCCTCGCAGCTCCCTCACTCCCAGCCTTGGGCCACTGCAGCCTCCTTTGCTCCCCATACTCTGCCTACACCTTTGCGCTCAACTCTTCTTAGATCTTCATCTTGATCTCTCTCCCTAAGGAGATTAAAACAAACTTAAAAAAACAAAACAAAACAAAACAAAAAACATCAAACTTTCCTCAAATCCCCCAATTTGGTTGAGCTGTCCCTGCTGGGGGCCTGACCCAGGGCAGTGGTAGTGAGGAGGGATGTCCTGGGGTGACAGCTGAGGCTGGCCTTGCCTGGATAATGATCAAAGGCCAAAGCTGACCACACCTCACCCCTGCTGCACACCTGGATGGCCCCCTCACTTGGAGTCCTCAGTCTGGCACCCGAGACTGCCCCACCTGGCCTGGATGATGCAAGCCGCAGGTGGGGCCCGTCCCCAGGAGAGGGACAGGAGGGGCTGGGGGATGAGCGGGCAGGGGTTCCAGGAGGGCTGCAACTGGGCCATACGGTTGCTCTGACTGGGAAGGAGGAGGGGGGAGTTCCTGGGCCTGAAGGCCATGCCAGGCTGCCCACCCGCTCGCTCTCTGAGTTGATCCACCTTGGGCCATGAGGACGGGTTCCATGGCATCTGGCCACCCTCTGACTGCAACAGCTCTGGTTTGCCCAACTGCCACATGGGAATCGGCTCACAGAGCCTTGGGAGAAGCTTAAAGGAGCAGTGGAGGGGAAGTGGTGCTCAGCCGGTCGTGCGGGAGCGCACGGCCTGGAGGCCAAGGAGGAACTGAGCAGGATCCAGCGTCACCACTCGCTCCCTGTGTGATCCCGGGCAAGTCCCTTCACCTCCCTGCAGCTCAGCTGCAAAGCAGGGGGACCCGGGCAAGCTCACAAGAGCCAGGGCCTGGCACAGCACAGGGGGCCGGGCAGACATTCATTTGTGTCTTCCTCTGTCTTCCTCTTCGGGCAGGCATCCCATCTGCCATGTCAGCCAGCCACTCTCCCCTGCGCAACGTGGACTCTGACTGCCATCACCGTCTCAGAGGGGCAGGTGGCGAATCCTTCCCTAAGCCCAAAGCCACGCCTCCCGAGACAGGAGGAGGCTGGGTCTGCCACCCAGCAGGGCCCACGCTGCTCAAGCTCTTCTGAGATGGGACTTGACCTCTCTTAGGTCTGGTTGAAGTGCCTGCAGGCAGGGCTGGGAGATGATGAAGACGACCCAGGTCCCCACAACCGCTGTCACAGCCATCCAGCTCACACCCAGGGGAAGAGCAGGGCAGGACCGAACAGGAAGGCAGGGCTGCTGGATGTGTGGGGAGGGGGCCGGAGTTGCTGCATGGCACGAGCCACACACACACACACACACACACCCCATCACCTCACACCTCACACCTCACGTACAGGGGACAGCTCCGGGACTTAGACAGCTTCCAAGAACCTTCATCTCTGGGCTTCTCTAACTCTGGGCTTGATTTTCCACCCAAATCCAGCTCAGGCCAGGCTGCTTCAGTCACAGCCATGGTGGTGGGGGCCAGGGCCGGGGCGCTCAGAAGCGAGCCATCACGCCTCTCAGCCCCGGGCTTGCCTCTGCAGCCTTCGATGCGTGCTTCCACACGCAAAGCCCCCAAACCGGGGGCTGGATTTTATGGCCCCACTCCTTAAGCCCCCATCCCACACCTCCAAACCAGCTGATCTCGCTCACCCACCACTCTCTGCTGCTCACTCCCCTCCTCTGGTTCAGCCCACAGCAGGTGGATAAAACGCAAGCTTCAGATCCGGTCTTTGTCAAACTCTCCAGCCTCATCTCCTCCCCCTCCTCTGCCTCTGTCTGTCCTTCTTCCACTGCACGGCGCTCATGGTTCCCAGGCTTTTGCCCAGGCTGTGACCTCTGTCTGAACACCCTTCCCTTCCCCTCGGTCTGCCAGACTCAACTCAACCTCTCAGGTCCAGCAGCAACGCCGTTTCCTCTGCACCTTCCCAATTCCCTAGTGCCTCCTCCTCCAAATAATCACGCATCGGTCAGTCTGCAGAGCTAGGGCCACACTGGGACACGGCGTGATGAGGTTCCTGGCCCAGGAGACAGGCAGACATGCACACAGATGGTGACAGCACAGGAGGGAGGGGCTGAACTTGGCAAAGCCTCCCCTGTTACCCTGCAGCACAGTTTGGCTGCCTTGCAACCAATGGCTTTGAAACATCATCTCTTGATTGCATATCCTCGAATCAGGGACTAGGGCTGGTGCCCCTCTGTGTTCTACTTAGGGCCTAGCCTCCAGAAGGGACAACAGGCAAATGTACTGCTTTAGATGAACTTGGGAACTGCATGTTTCAAATGGGCCTTGTTGACCCGAAGTCTTGAAGATAATGATGTCCTACTTCTGCACAGGGGTAACACCCTTCACCTTGCAATGATGTCACACCCTCTTCCAGTCCTCAGGTGCAAAGGGCAAGATGGGAACAGTCGCCTGTCATATCACCATGTTGAACTGAACCCTCGACAAGACAGGGATGGCAGCTTACCCAGGGCACTTGGGCAGACACTTGCCCCCCAGTCCAAGCAGTGCCCCTCAGCTCATCCTGTGAGGACAGTGGGTGAGCCGCGAGTTCCAGCCCAAGGCTCGCCCTGCGGGACACCCTTCCAAAGCAGGTGCAGTCACTCACTCATTGACTTGAGGTCTTTTGGGCCAGCAGCAGCCTGACCTCCGAGAGCACCCTCCTCTGAGAATTCATTGACACCATCTTCATCCACCTGGATGTGCGTCTCTTTGCTCATAATATGATGCACCTGTTGCACTACCAAGCCTTTGCACAGCCCAGTCCATGTGCTCCCCCGTGCACAGCGTGGGCCACTAGCCTGCTCTTGGTTTCCTCTTCCAGCCTCTTAGCCTCACCACGTGCTGGCTCCTCTATCTGGTATGTTTTCCCTCTTGGCCTCAGGTTCAGAAACATTTTCTCCATGGGATTCACCGCTGTGGCCTTGAGGGGGTTGGAGTGTTTCCACATCCCTCTGGTGGCCTTTGTCCCACGCTGCCCTGGGCCTGTGACTTTTGGCATTCTCCCCTCCCCCAGGGAGGCGATGGTGAAGACCCTGAAAGCAGAGACTTCTGCCCTGGTGCTCTGGCCCTGCAGCCAGCTGGCTCAAGCTATGCCCAAAAAATCTGTCTTGTCCCTGACATGCCTGTGGCCCTCCACTGTGCATGCAGTAAGTCACTCCACCTCATTCTGGAAGATCTCTCCCCCTGCCCCACCGACACTCCTCTCAAGGCCAAGCCTCCCCCCAACTCTCTCAACCACCACCCTAGCATGGGGGGTCCCCCTGGCACTTTCCCCACTGCCCTCCTGGCCTGCGGCCTCTTCTGCCACATGTGGCTCCAGGGCTCCTAAAACTCAGCTGCGCTACTTAAAGCTCCCCCCCTCCCCGAAACCCCACTCCCATCCTAGCGACTCAAAAGTGGCATGTTCCAGCCATCCAAAGAACAGGCCCTCTGTTCCCTCACTGGCAGCTCATATTGGAACGCTGCTTTGTATCCTGGCTGCTCTGCCTCTCATCCAGCTTCCTGACAATGCACCTGAGAAGGTAGTGGAACATGGCCTGGTGCTTGGGCCTCTGCCACCTGAGAGGAAGAGCCAAATGGCATTGATGCTTCTTGCTCTGGCCTGGCCTAGACCTGGCTGTTTCCATCAGAGGATGGTAGAACTCCCGGCAACACACGCATCATCTCTTTGCCTTTCAAGTAAAAATAAATCGATCTAATCTGTCTTGAAAAACAAAATGGCAGAGCCCAAAACTAGACTCCAGGTCTGATTCTAAACCTGCTATGCGTCATCCTAAGTGCACTCAGACCCCAGCCCTAGGCAGGGTCCTCGCCCTTCTGTGGTTGCAAAGCACCCCTGGATTCTCTTGTTCTTGACACCATACCCTCTCCGAGAGCACCCCAAGGCCAAGGGCAGCAGATGCAAAGGCAGGGGTAGTTTCCGGGTGGGAGGGTAGGTTAGAAGTTCAGCCCCAACCTACTGAAGAGAGTTGGGATTTCAGCCTCTGCTGCCAAAAGGTGGTCCTGCCAATAGGGAGAAATCGTAAGGCCCGCGCGTGCTCCGCCTGGCCCGCACGTGCTCCATCTCCCGGCCCACGCTACAGCTGCGGGCTGTACCAACCTCCGTTGGGGAGTGCTAGGGGACGGCCGCGGGAGTACGAGAACGGCCAAGTACGCCCGGGAAGGAAGGCTTGGGCTCCTCTCTCCCCTCCCAGCGCCTCTCGCCCGCCGGCTCCCCCATGGCGTGCTCGTTCCGCGCCCATGCACAGGTGCCACCCCGCGGGGCAGTGGTGCAGCCCGCGGGGGTGGAACGGCCTGCCCCGCCCCGCAGCGCCGCGCCGGCCCGCCCCCTTGTGAGGTTATAAAGCGCCGCGCTCGGCGCGCAGAGCGCAGGAGCTGTCGTTCGGCTCGGGTTTCTGCTGCTCCTCGCGCCGCGGTCGGTCGGCCGCCCGCCTGCCGGTGCCATAGCTGCCCCCCGCTCAGGGGCCGTCCCCGGGCTCCCGTGCTCCGCGCGAAGCCCTGGCCCCGGCGGCCGGGGCATGGGCCAAGGGCGCGGGGTTAGGCGGCTTCCCGCAGGGCCGTGCCCCGCACCGGCGGCAGTATGAAGACCCTCATAGCTGCCTACTCCGGGGTGCTGCGGGGCGCGCGTCGAGCCGAGGCGGCCCGGAGTGAGAGCTCAGATGGAGGCCGTGCGCTGTCACGTGAGGGGTCTGGGAGATGGGGTGAGTGTCACCGCGGAAAGGCTGTGGGAACCGGGCGTTCACCCTGGCGTTGGGAAGGAAGCTCAAGATTTCGGGAAGGGCTCCGAGGCCGGCTGGTGGGGAGTGGAGGGCCGGTGAGGTCCTGGTCACTTCTGGGGAAGCTTGGCGCCTCCCGCCCCCTTCCCCCCAACCCTCGTCATCTGGGTCTGAGACGAGGGAAGGATCATGGTTACCTGGTCTGATCCAGCCAGCCTGGTCTGGTAGTCATCCGGTTCGGGCTCCATTGTGACCACTCATCAATTTTTGCAACCTCTTACATCACTTCCCGGCCCCCAGCGGGTTCCCCTCACGTGTGAGATGGGGGTGACACCATCCACCCTTCTCGGCTCTCAGGGATCCTGGGGACATCTGCGACCCCAGCAGTTCCCTCTCCCTTTGCCCTCATCAGGTGGCAGCAAGCTGTTGCAATGAGTTGGCTGAGGCCGGTGGCGAGAGTCCCATAAGCCTCTAGATTGGGACATGCCTGGAGGACAGGTGTGCCCATGCTGTCTTTGTCCCACGCCCATCCTCTGAGGCAGGAGGCCCTGGGTGTCCTCCAGGGCGGAACGGAGCCCCTCAGTGAGTCAAGGGCAGAGCTGAGCTCAAACTCCAGAGCTTTTTCCAGGGGGAGCAAGAGCATCCCTTCCACCCCCATACCCCTTAGCTAGACTCGGAGAAACTGAGGCAGGAGGAATGAAATCCAGACGGGGAAGGCAAGGCCCGGGAAGTCATCAGACCCGTCCGAGTCTGCAGATCTGTCTCTCACCAAGCCCGACTGTCAGCCCCGAGTCTTTATTCCGCGAGCTGAACTCCCACCTGGGGTTTCTTTCTTTAGTAATGTACTAATTTTAGCAATGTAGTAACCTACACTCCCCACCTGCGTTATAAAAATCAAATGTATTAAATATAGAAATTTTGAAAGCTATAGACAAACAGGAAGAAAATTAAAATTGCTGGTCAATCAATTATGCAAAGACAGCCTTGAATTAACATTTTGGTATTTTATCTTTATTCAGAGTCTGTGCAGATAAAGTTGAGGGCATACCATAGATACAGTTCTGAACCCTGCTTTTTCTCTCTTAATGTTCATCAAAATCATTTATAATCTAGTGGCCGGAGCTGTGTCCCCATTCAACTGTATGCTGGCGTTGCATTGTCCCTTGTGTGTCGAGTACACTGGGTTTCTGCCCCTCTTGGTCTGGGTTGCACTTGGACAGATACCCAGAGAGCAGCCTGAGCGGCCCCAGGCACCCGGCTGGTAGCCTCGGACACCCCTGCTCTCCGGGACTCCCTTTGAGGCCCTGAGCCGGGGAAGGAAGGGACTTGCCCGCCTTCACGCCTGTAGAAATGTTTTTGTCTTCAGAGGTAATGGGCTGGGAATGCTGCCTGTGGCTCTCCTTGGAGCTCCCTGGCCCTGGGCTCTGCGGTCCCCAGGCCGGGAGCTGTGCCCTGGCTCTCACCTTGTTGACCTAGAGCCTGTCGATCAGGAGAACTTGTACTCTAGCAAATGGTTCTGAACGGATCGCTTAATATCATGTCAGAGGCATATCTCCATGCTGTCAGCAGATCTGAAAAACGCAATTTGCTGCTTGCTTTTGTTTGTTGTTGTTGTTTTTGTTGTTGTTGATTTTTTTTGGAAGTGGGTGCAAGAATTACAATACAGAATGTGACAAGGGCTGGTATGAAATGCAAGCCTGTGTGTGTGGCTCTTGGGCTTGCTTTGGTAAAAGACTGGGTGGAGTAGGGGAGGGTACAAGGCGGGTCTGGTTATCTGGGCATCTCCATTAGACCTGCTTTCTCCATCCCTGGTCCCTGAAGACACTCCCCAGTGGCCTAGTTTGCCTCTGCAGATAAGGTCCCACTGTTGCGAGGTAGTGAGCTCCCTGTCAGCGGCAGCGTTCAAGGAGAGACATGGATTCTGAGAAGGGAAGTCCTGTGATGGGTGAGAGAGGGAAATCGACGCCTGGGCGACCGGTGTGTTCGTGGGGGCCTGGGTGCGCGGGTGTGTGCGGATCTCTGAAGGACTGCCCTGGGCCAGGCACAGAGGCTGCAGAGTCAGTTGCGTCAACCTTTCTGCCTTTGCCCCCGTGCAGTGGGCATTTCAGATCAGAGGGGAGAGCATAGGAGGCAATCCGGAGTGGGGCTGCCCCAGGACAGTTCTGAGCCGACTGACTATGTGGCTCCAAAGAGCAAGGCTGGGGGTGGGTGGGAGGTTAGCAGGGGCAGGTTCTAATGTCCCACAGGGCTCCTTTCCTCCACCTCCAGCTGCGGACCACACGGGCAGGGGCTTGGTAGGGGGTGGTTGTTGGGGTGACTCTGGAGCAGAGGGTCGGCGGGTCCCTGGCCCATTCCTCAAGCATCATGCTCTCATATCCTTCCCCCTTGATTCCATGTAGCTCTCCCCCTAACAGCACAGAGACCACGTTCAGGTTGTCTGTTGCCAAGAGCTCCTCTGGGCTGGGAAAGGAGAGCTGAGAGTATTAGTTTATTAGCAGGCTGGGTGACTCAGTGGCCAGTGTGGCAATCCTGCGCCACCCCCACCCTCCTATCCCCCAAGTTCAGTAACAAGTCCGTGAGTCATGAAAACATAGTAGCTGTTAGCACCGGATCTGGGCCAGCCCTCGTGGTACAGACGGAAGCCCTGAAGTCCCAGAGACAAAGGACTGGTCCAGGATTTTCAAAGCCAGGCCAGAGCCAGATCTGCCTCCCCGGCTGTGGCCTGCCTCCTTAAAGTAGGAGATGTGTGGGAGGCTGCAGGCTCCCCTCCAAGTGTTCAGGGGGCTGGGTGGCTGAATGAGTGAGGGTTGCTCCCAGGGGTGGGGGGTGGGGTGGCAGCAGCTCACCTTTTCCCAAGCTTTGCCGGGAAATTCCCCAAGTTTGCCCTGGGGGATAGAGACACCAGGAGCACCCAGAGCTCCTACTGCCTCGTGAGCTGCCAGTTGCATTCCTTACTCCTCCGCTTACTCCCATCATCCTTCAAACCTCCCAGACTCCCTGCTGTGGCCTGAGACGTGTACTTGAGTACCCTCGTTCTTTCTGTCTCTCAGGCTCCTCGCCTGTGTGCCATCTGCCACGTTCCAGACATGCTGGTGGTCTTCCCGCTGCTCCAGCATTGCCCTCCATGCAGTCCCACCTCAGGGCCTTTGCACATGCTGCCTGCCTTCCCAGATCTTTGCACGGCTGGCTTCTGAACATTCAGTCTCTTCTCAGAGGCCTTCCCTGGTCACCACATCTTGTTGTGCTTTAGTAGCCTTTATTTATTTATTACCTAAATTATTGCATGTGCTTAACTGCTAGTGCACTGCCTCCCGCCATGACAGGGTCAGCCCCTGGGGAACAGAGCCCTTATCTGTCTTTCTCAGTGTGTGGCCATGCCACACTGCCTGGCAGGTAGTAGGTACTCAGTAAATGTTTGTTGAGGGAGTGAATCATTGATGGGACTTCCCTGATCCTCCCACCAGGAAGCTCCGCTTTTAGCTTCAGGTGCACCCAACCTTCCTCGGGCCTCCTCTCTGCCCGCCTGGCTGGGTGCTGGGGTCGCAGCTGTTCAGGCCCTGGAGGTGCCAGTCTGGCAAGGAGCTGGGCCCCAGGGCTAGACACCGAAGTCAGAGCTCCAGGCCTGCAGCCCTGCCTTTTCTCTGGGTCATGGTGGGTGGCTCATTTCCTCCCTGGAAATCTCACTCCCCCTCTCTGGAAAACAGGGTCAGAAGTCTCAGGCTCTCCAGGGTGGAATTAATGTGAGTAGGAAGTGCTTTGGAAACTAGCTCGTTCCGCTTGTGCTGGTCCTTGTTGTTTGTCCAGTGTGACGGGCACCAGGCTCCAATGCTATGGAGCCTCGCTTGCTCTGTGCTGGGACTTCCAGGAGGGCTTCACCCAGGTGTGGGCCCTTTGATGCTTTGATTGAGGGCCTCAGGCGTGTCAAGCCACAGTCCCTGCCTTTAAGGAAGCAAGACCAGAGGGATGTACACACAGTGACTGCGCAGAGTGAGCGAGCAGTGACCGGGGAGGAAGAGGGGAGAGCTGTGGAAGCTGGAGGTAAGGGTCAGGGAAGGCTCCCTGGAAGAAGCGACATCCTGTCTGGATCTTGGAGGAGGAACAGAGCTTAGCAAGGCAGGCAGGGCTATTCTGCACATGAATAGAGGTGTGAGTACTGGGTGGGAGAGGCAGCCTGACCACAGGGCCCCTGAGTGACCAGCCCGGGCTGAGGTTCTGGTGTGCTGAGAGGCAGGGGCAGGGGCGACGGACAGGCTGCTGGATGCAGTTCACGGTGGCCTGCCTGCGTCTGCCTGCAGCCTCCCCGGGAGGAAAACTTTGAGCTCCTGGGAAAGGAGTTAGAAAATGCAGTTGGTTTCTCAGCCTCCAGCACTCCTGGGTGCTCCTGGGGTGCAGCCGCCGCTAGTGCTGGGGCTGGGAGCTGGGCCCAGGCGCAGGGTAGATGAGCCCCTGCTCAGCCACAGAACTGCTATGCAGCCTCGACAAACCACTGCTCCCTCCTGCCTCAGTCTCTTCATCTATAAAATGGACAAAGTGCCCTAAGGGTATCTTCCCTGGTTATGGTGCTGAAACCGGGAACGTTTTGGGCAAATCATCAGGAGTAGGAAGGGTGAACTCGGTTTCTTATTAAGGCAGAATTAGCAGTTCTCAGCAGAGTACCAGGAGCCCGGCTCTGCATCTGCTAACTGCGTGCCCGTGGGCACCTCTGCCTCCCCGTCTGCACAGCAAACAGGGCTGGCTGAGATGACCCTTTGGATTCGGGCTCTGCCCCTGACTCTTGGGGTCACCCTCTTCCTCCTTCTTAAGTTCTCCTTGTGAAAAGGGGTCACATCCTGCGTGAGGCCTAGACAAGTGCCCCTCCTCGCCATGTACTGTGATAGGGGCCCATTTCGGGGGCTGCTTGGCAGCACACCCGCAAGCCAGTGGCATTGCTGTGGCAACCCCTCCCACCTGAGTGTTTTGAATGTACTGGGTTAGAGGGTGGAGCT